GGATATTTTGAGCATTTATGCATTGTTGTTTTGATGGGTTTTGGGGCATATGTTTATGTAGATACTAGCATCATGACCCGGCGTTGCCCGTGCTTGATTCAAAAATCGTACGACTCATAAAGCAATCGCTATCACTTGACTTAAAATATTTTTGCCCTTCCCTACCTTTAAAGGAGTGCCCTTTGCCATGCTGATGTTGCTACATCTCACACTACGAATTTTTTCTAAGCTCTATACTAAACATTAAATCTGTTACGAAAAAAGCACTAAACAAAATGAACACAAAACGATCAGCTATAAAAAGGACTCGTAACTGGAAAAAACGAATGAAATAAGAATGTTAACAACAAATACTTTTTCACACCCAACCCAGTTCTGCGGAATCAGAATCAACGTTGAGTTTATGTAAGCGAATGCGCCAATTGGAGTAAAGTGCCATGCAGATTTAAATTTTTCCCACTTGTGACGAATACACTATCGATTTTTTGTTTGCATGCTAGCATGCTAGTTAACATTCGTGCCAGTCAGCTGTTGGCTCTCACGCTGGCCAATAGAATCTTCCTGCCTATTCGTGGCAGCCAGCTATTGGTTCTCACTCTGGCCAATAGAAAATGGCCGCAAACTACATGAAAACTGTCGTAGAAGCATGAAAAAATTGATTATTTTCACTATCGATGGGAGTTGGGAAATGCAAAGTCGGTCTTGGCCTTCCCACTAACTTGGAGCATGTGCATGTAAATTTTGATCCAAATCCGTCTAAAATTGCGGCCGTGCATTCGTCACACACACACACACACACACACACACACACACACACACACACACACACACACACACACACACACACACACTGCCTTTTATAGATAGAGATTTTACCTTATTTTCATGTCAGGAACCCACCCCAAAGTATTCTTGATTGTATTTTGTATTGTACATTTAACAGCGCCTACCGTTTACTTTAAGACTTTCGGATTTAGGTTTATATGGATTTTGTCGTATTTTCCTGTCAGAAACCCGCCACCAAAGTTAATTTTGATACAACCTGTGTATTTGAATGGACATTTTATTTTCTTAAACAGCAAAATTAATATAAACTTTTTCTAGATCGAAGAAGACTATGAAAAAAAATATTACGTCCCGATATGAATTGAACGTGTATCCGTGATAGGAAAAAAATGGATAATGATTCAGTCCCTATCGGGGACCATATTTACAATTAAGACTCCTAGATCTAAGCTAGTTGTTATGAATTTCACTGTTTGAGAAAATAAAAAAAAGCTGTTACTTCAAACACGAGTACCCCCCACCAAATTAACGGTTATTTTAATATATATATATATATATATATATATATATATATATACAAGTTTTGTCTATTTATTTTATGTAAATTCTTTTCAAATCGTCTGATAAGCTTAAACTATGTTGGCTTTTTGCAAATCGCTAACCGGGGGAGAAGAATCATTGCGAATAACTTGATTTTTTTGCTTGGGTCTGTTGTAGATATATAAGTATTTACTAAATTTTTTTTTAGTAGAGATGTCCTGTTTGTTGCTGTTAAGAGTGTTCAATTTTACTTTGGCGAATTCAATTTGACTTTTCACAAGACTACATTTATAATTCCAAATATTGATAGTTTGGTGGGCGGCTGGATCATGTATTTAGGCAGCATTTTTTCATTGATGCATGTTTTATTATATAATATAGACAAGTTTTGTCTATTTATTTTATGTAAATTTCTTTCATATTGTCTGATAAGCTTAAACTATAACTTAATCGGTTAGCGATTTGCAAAAAAACGAACATAGTGTAAGCTTATCACATCATATGAAAAGAATTTACATAAAATAAATAGACAAAACTTGTCTATATTATTTAATGAAACATGCATCAATATATATATATATATATATATATATATATATATATATATATATATATATATATATATATATATGCGCATGTGTGTGTGTGTGTCGAAATAATGTTTTTATTCGAGAATGATAAAAATTCTGAAAGTGGTTGTAATTCGTTTAGTAACTTTTTTTTTTTTTTCTTAATGAATATATAGTTTAATTAAAAATTTTTTTGATTATCTGGGATAAAAGACATTTTTTTTTTATTATTATCTTCGGCGTTCAAAGTAGCCACGCGCAAAAAAATATCGTCGCCCGTCATCCTTGTATATAACTCTTTGAAAATATTCTATATTTATTTTATTTTTCTCTCTCTTTGCCTCGTTGCTAAAGTTTCCTTCCATTTTATGTCGTTTTCTGAATTGAATTTATTTTACCTTTTTTTTCCCCTCTTTGAAAACTTTGAATATTATGTCTTTGGCGACGTTTCGGGTTCATACAACCATTGGACGTTATTTGTAATCGTGGTTCACAAAACTTTAAAATGTTCCCTTCTACAAGAAGTGAATTTTGTATTATCAAATTAAAATTTTATATTTACATTCCAGATTCACTATCCATAGCCCCTCCGACATATGCTTCTCCTCTATCCATCTATAACAATCCATATAGGCCGGTGTAGTAAATGCTCATGCATCTCCCTTTACCTTCTCTTCCAAATATGGCTTTTAAATCATTAGCCCACGAGCGATCTATACATACAACTCGCATCATGGCTCCCAACCCAGCTTGGCTCTCTAGGTGTGTTTCCGAGTCCGTTGTTCTTCTTCTATGTTTTTTTTTTCTTTTTGTCTGATTATTGTGTGTTTTTTTTTTATTTTTATTTTTTAATAGGAGTAGATAGGCTTCCCTATCGTCCGGTTAATCTTCCTCCCCATTATTCTGAACAGGAGTAGAGGTTCATCTCTTGTTTCCTGTTTAGGAAGGGCTTCCGGGATCCTTTCCTTTTCTCTGGCCTTATTAGTACTGCCGCCGTGAATCTCTTGTGATGTTTGCGGTTTGTGGCAACATCTTTTCATACTGAGGATACCGTGTTGGAAGTTTTCTGGTTGCTGTTTCCGACTGAGATATAGGAGCTCGATCTCTTACCTAGCCTCTTGTGAGGCTGCTCTGATATTACGCAACCGTTGATCAGAGCAGCAATTGGGGGGGGACACATTATCTTGTAGTCTGCACCAGTTCCTTCCTTCTCATGGAACATTTGATGACCGATTGCTTCTGTTACTTTAGGCATTTTTTCTTAACAACGTAACTCAACATGACCATAAGGAACCTTAAACATAAACCTAAACCAGCTCAAAAAAATCACCTGAAGCCATTAACATTTCTTTCTTCAAAATCCACGGTATTCGTAACAACTTCTGTATTGTAGAACCGTTCCTCTTTGATAAGTCTCCCGATATTCTAACTCTCTGCGAGACCAACCTTACAACGTCAATCCTTTCCTGTGATTTCTCACGATTTTTGTCATGACACCAAAATAGCTCGTCTGTGAATATAAGAGGATCCAATTGAAAATAAGCAGACAAAACTTGCCTAAATTATTCAATGAAACCCGTTTCAATATACACACAATATGTGTATCTGTTTAAATAGAGGTGTTAAAATATTTATACATTGACATTAGTCTACAGATTTTAATGTGAGTAAAGTTTTGTTCTCATTTATAATTGTTCCAACACCCGGATATATATATATATATATATATATATATATATATATATATATATATATATATATATATATATATGTACCATCGCATATTTGCATATCATTATAATCCAATCTAAGCTTTCGGCTTACAGACATAAGACATTATCAAAGATGTCAATTACTGTACAACATATTAAGTCATATACGGACAAGACAGTGATGATGGTCTGCTATTGTTTACACCACCACAAACTCGCTTTCACAACGCTTGACACTACATTTGAATGAAAACTCTAACATTTTTAGGCATTTAAAACAACATGCCTGGCCGCATACACAATTCCGTAAAATCCTTGTCGAAAACACAATTATACTTAAACATGAAAACAATAGACAAAAACTAAAAATCCTTGAAGCAATATACATCAAACAGTTGTAACCTAACCTAAAAAAATCATCTATGTAAACAATAGCAGACCATCATCACTGTCTTGTCCGTATATTGCTTAATATATTGTACAGTAATTGACACCTTTGATAACGGCTTATGTGAGCCAAAAGCTTAGATTGGATTAAACAAATGTAGATCAATATTATGATTTTCTTTCTTCATTAAATGATAATGTTATTAAGCTTATCAGACGTTATGAAAAGATTTTACATAAAATAAATAGACAACACTTGTTTATATTATTTAATGAAACATTTATGAACATACATATATATATATATATATATATATATATATATATATATATATATATACACTTTGGCACAATTGTGTTCCTTGAACCAATAGATGGTTTATACTGCAATTATACTGAAAAGACCTCAGTCGTGGTTTATGGGGAAAAGCGCTTAATCTGATGTCATCAGTAATTGAACAGTGTCAGTAGGCTCAAACGTTCGGACAAGATAACTTGTGACTTCGTATTAACACAAGAATGGGCCGGAAATTCCATTCACTTAAATTCACTCACAAGGTTTGAGTATTTATAGGGTAGTGAACTTTATAAATATAAGCTGTGTTATGTACATTTAAATGTAATAATATTGTTATAATTTATTAGGCATGTTTATTATTTGTCACAAGCATAATATTTGGAATATAATATACAAGTCTATGTTTATATACGCGGATTGATATTATAAAGTGTATCGAAAAAAAAATTTGGAATTGCTATTAAGAATGCCGTAAAAACAGAAAAACAGCCCTATCCTAAGAACCTAATTTTAATGAAGTTTGGCACGGCCCCCGGCTCAGATCCAAGGTATAATAAGCTCCTAAATTGGTTGGAACATTAGGTATTCTTAAAGCCGTATCTCTGATATCAACATGCATATTTACAAGATTAGACTTTTAGTATTACGTAGATGTTTGCGCAAAAATTTCCTGAGAACTTTATTTTAAAGACATCTTATGTATCATCGTTAAATAAACAAATTATTAGTAGCATGCAGTGCTTTATCAGGAGTAATAACCGTAGTACAATATGCAGTAGAACTGATAGTTTTACAAGCAATAGTTTCAGTACGACCATAAGGAGTTGTATCAAGTGCATTATCAGCACTAATATCCATAGTATAATAATCAAAATTATCAATGATATTATCGAAAGTAGTCTCCACAGTCTTTTCAGCAGTAATATCCACGGTATTATCAGCATCAAGATTGTTATCAGCAGTAGGATCCCCAGAATTATCAATAGTAATATTAACAATATTAACAGCAGTAGCATTGATAATGTTATCAATAGTAATATCCATATAATTATCATCAGTACTATCAACATCAGAATCAGTAGTAGTGTCAACAGTGTTATCACCAGTAATATCCATAGTATTATTATTAGTAGTGTCAACAGTTTTAACAGCAATAGTATCCATAGTATAATCAGGGGTATTATCAACAGTGTTACCAAAAATAGTATCCATAGTATAATCAGTAGTATTACCAACAGTATTAAAATCAGTAGTATCCTCAGTATAATCAATAGTATTACAAACAATATTACCAGCAGTAGTATCCATAGTATTATTAGTAGTAGTGTCAACAGTGTTATCACCAGTAATATCCATAGTACAGTTAGTGGTATTATCAAAAGTGTTATCAGAAATAATATCCATAGTATAATCAGCAGTATTACCAATAGTATTACCAGCATCGGTATCCACAGTATAATCTGTAGGATTACCAATAGTATTACCAGCAGTAGTATCCATATTATAATCACTAGTATTCCCAACAGTATTACCAGCAGTAGTATCCATAGTATAATCAGTAATATGACAAACATTATTACCAGTACTAGTGTCCATTGTATAATCAGTAGTATTAGCAACAGTGTAATCAGGAGTAGTATCCACAGTAACATTACCATAAGCATCCACGATATTACTAGGAATATTATCCGCAGGATTATTAGCAGTAGTAGGAAATGTGTTATCGGCAGTAGTATACTCTTTTTTATCTCCAGTAATATCCAAAACATTATCCGTAATAGTATCCATAATAATATCAGCAGTACTATCTACAATAGTATCATATATAGTATCATATATAGTATCATATGTGTTGAGAGTAATAGATCGAAAAGTATGACGTGCGTCAAATATGGCATCGTTCAATTTACATACACATAAAAAAGATATTTCACAGAATTTCGTACTTGAAACGTAATCTGCACATACCATAACACAGGCATGCATAAACATCACCGAAAATGAACGCTCGCTTGTTGGTTTATATTCTCCACGGTAGTGTTTTCAAGAACGAAAGGAAGTCGAGGACTTTCGCTCGGACGTCATCTATGTACACTGGTGACGATGAAAAGAAAGTTTTATTTCTTGAATCATTCTGAGTGTAAGACGTCAACATCTCATTCAAGCTCCAAATCCGTCGTCCAAGAAAGGATATTCGCTCTTCAAAAATCATCAAACCACCTTAAAAAGATTAATAAACAATGTGCTATAGTCATGTTAACATGTCGCTAAGAAAAAGGAAAACCGATTATAAAAAAAACAATTACCCCCAGAATCAGGCAAATATGTACAAACATTTACGTAAATGATTGGTTTGATTTTTTAACATATCAACTCTTCATGGGTGATTTAATGACAAAATTTAAGTTTCTCAAGAGCTTTGAATTAATTTCACAATTTTAATATAAATAGTATTTTATTAGCAAATATTTTACTATAAATATTTACTGTTGGTAATTTTACTATAAATATTTGTTGTTGTTAATTTTTTATATAAAATTTATTGCTGGAAATTTTACTATAAAAATTTGCATTTTATATATTTCCATAGTGTTTTGTTTTTGTTTGGGGATTCACTATTTGTCTATAGCTAGGTCCCTAACAGGAGCTACTACACCGGGTAAAAGTGGACCTGGGAACAACACCCTTGCTACCCGATGTAGTTTATTGTCATACCCCAGATACATTTGAGAAAAGCAACTATCATTAACTGTAAACTCATTAATGACATTCACGCTAAAGAAAGGTTCTGGTAATCAATTAATGTATTTCAAGTAATTAGGTTATTATCGACTTCGATGAAAAATATAGGCACATCTGTTCAGTGTTTATCCAATTCAAGGTAAGAAGCTTTTTTATGAACACTTAAGACATTTCATATAAAGTGTTATTTAAATATTATCATCAAATAGTTTCTTTATATATATGATTGTATCATACATACTTTGTACTGCAAAAGATTAATTAACTTCAGCCAATTACTTTAGATGTTATACATAGGCAAATATATAAAATAAAAAAAAGCTGTATATATGCTTAAGTGCTTGTCACTATTTTTTTAACAGGAAGGGAAATAAACAAATTATCATAATTATCTTTTTGGAATGATGAATATAACACGAAGTTCGCAAATATGATAACGTGATGAAAAAAAATGTCCGTACGCATCAGTTAAGTGCTTTTGCATGTGTGTCTAAGTTTATATATATGTGTGTGTGTGTGTGTGTGTGTGTGTGTGTGTGTGTGTGTGTGTGTGTGTGTGTGTGTGTGTGTGTGTGTGTGTGTGTGTGTGTGAAAAGTGTATATAAATATAAATAGATATATATATGTATAATTATTTATATATTATATGCGCGGTACTTATTAGAAAGCGCTCAATATCAGAGATAGAGCTAACATATTTGGTTGGATAGATGTGAGTTTGTGACCCTGGGTTTCACGTTTTAGCGATCGTCAGACAAACTGATTAATTTTTTTAAAATTTGGGTTTATGTAGATTGCATGTATTGGTGTTATTGTGGAAGTGGTGGGGGAAATTTCGTCACTTATGTCATCGTACTAACGCAAACATCGATGTATGCAGACACATATACATACTTGGTCGTCCGTCGGGACTCATACATATATAAACATATGTGGGCAGTTTCGGATATGACATATGTATGTACACGGGTGGTGTTGTGTCTATACATACGCAATAGAAATAATCTGTAAAAAATGCGATAGAAATAATCTGTAAAAAATCTTTATAAAGTTTAATGCACCTAGTTTTAAGTATAGCTAAAATAACTAATGTGATTTCAGGCATTACTGTAGATCAGTTGGCAAATATTTTCCGTGAACTGCAAAATCGTATTACCCTTTGTATTGCTAATGATGGAGGGCATGTGGAAATTTAAATCAAATTTCAATAAAACCATAAAAAAATATAGCTTTACATCTTTCTAATCCTTCTTACAAATTATTTCTATCGCAAATACAAATAAAGTTATAAGTTTTAAAGTGCACACGGACTTTATGGACACTGTATATATATATATATATATATATATATATATATATATATATATATATATATCAAGGCTTGAGTCAACCGGTGGTATAGTTTTCTGACACTATCCAAATGTACAGCACCGCTGGGATCGCCTCCTCCACATCGATAACATCAGGAAGTCATCTTCCTGAAAAATCAATCCTGATGAGATTCGAACCCGGGTCTTATGATCAGACAGCGAACGTTCTAACCCCTCGGGCACGTGCCGAGATATTGTGAGTGAAACTGGGTAGATTGAAACCCTCGGGCGCCGTCAATGGTTTCGCTAGCACGAAGTTAAACGTCATTCTGACCGAGGTTGTTTTTTAGCGTGCTGACGCTGTTCAGTCTGTTGATAATGCCAGACAACGTTCTCACTTGCAGAAACTCTAAGGTCTGCTCAGTATGGCTGCAGTATAGAACATAAAATACTAGTAAGTCTATTAAAAGAAAGATAAGTAAAATTATTTAAATATTATTTAGCATGTAATCGCCTTTATTTCCAATGACTATAGCTACATTTGCAAATATTTGAACTCACATTTACAGAAAACTGGGTTCCATTACTGTTGTGGTACGATCCACCTAATTTACATAGTGGAGTACCGACCGATATAAATATGGGTTGGTACCGGAAGACGAGGGAGAATTAAGAAGAGATCGAATCGAGAGACTCTGCCCGACTGCGGTTAAGTCAACCCATTCTACAGGAACAGTCTTCCCAAGAATATACCAAAACTGTAAATATTGTGTACCTTTTCCTTGTTTCAATACATTTTGTTTACGTACATTTTGTGTTGTATTATTATTATTCCATGCTTATCCAAGCTTCAACAATTACCGGTTCTATTTTCTTTCTTATCTGAATGTTCTGACACTTACGAAATCTTAACGAATGATCGCAACGAATAAAAGACTGCAGTTGCTCAATCTAAGGAATATCCACATTGTGGAAAAACCTCCCATTCGAATACACTTATTTTCTCCTGGGATTGTTTTGCTGTTTGTTTCCTTCATTTTCATGAAAGAAAATAACACCTGTTCTGTTTATCAAAGCAGGACGGTTTCAATGTAATGCAATCTTTACCCGATGATGTTTACTATAAACGTCTGCAGTTATGATGACACCTTTCATATTCCACCAGTGACAAAACAAATGCTGTTGTAGGCGGAGTCGTGATTTTTGTATTGACACTTGTCTCTCATTTTGTGATAATCATTATCGTTACCATTTTATATTGGCAAAACCCATCACTTGTCACAATGTAGCGCAGAAAGAATAGAAGGGTATACCAGATTAATAGACTGCTCATGAGAAACTCAAATTCCTTTTATTCAAGTTTTCCAATTTAAATTCTGAAATGCACCCTAACGGACACACTGTAGGAGAGAAGAGATAGTAACTGTAAATAAGAATAGAAATATATAAATGGGAATATATAAATAAGAATAGAAATAAGAATATAAAATACATAAATATCCTTATTTATATCCTAAGAAGTAAGACAAATTACTCGAAATGATATTTTGGTATATCTAATAGTACCGAAATTAAACATATTTTATGGCTTATATTATTGGATATATTTGTAGAGATTTTCTAAGCCCGGCTTAGATGTGGCACAAGGCCGAAAGTATGGGGCACCCAGCGAGGATCTAACTCACTACTCAGTCGTAAATTGATCTAGTAAGACAAGCTTTCTAACCATTATGCCACGTCGAGGTTCCCATTAGATATATTTATATGTAAAGTATTATTCCGAATTATTATATGTAGAAGTCAAATGACTTACCGTCTAACATGGCTGCCTACTTGTCTCCTTCTAAAGCCAGGGTACCGCATTTCTACCTCATTTATAGGAGAGTACCTAATACAGCGGGTGGGTTAGTCTATTTTACTAGAATGCACCTGCCCAACACATTTGCATGGATGGACACAATTCACCAGTATATCTCTCCATCAAATCACTCAGTGAAAAAACTCAACTGGAAGTGACTACACCAGTCTACTTGTGTGTTAGATCACCTTTAAGCTAACCAATATTCTACATATTTTACGGCTTATAGTATTGGATATATTTATATGTAAAGTATTATCTCGAATTGCTACAAACGTTATTTTTAGTGGTTTGATTTGGTATCCCTGTTATTTTTTCTTTATTTCTTAAACACTGAAATAAATAAAAAAAAAACACTCTAGATTTAAGAGTAAAACTATAGTAAGTTTGTGCCTCCAACAGGAATCGAACATGTATCTCCTTTTCCATCAGGGAAACCGTTTCTATAGACTAAACCTACTGTTGCCAATTCGGACACGTAGTTCACAGAGACTGCAGATCAATTGCCTATTTAGGAAACGCACATTTCTCGTTGGGACTTCAAAGTATTTTATAATTACTAACTTGGGCACCTCGAGGCGGTGTAATGGTTAGCATGCTTGTCTCGCTAGAACAATTGCGACTGAATAGTGAGTTAGATTCTAACTGGGTGCTCCATACATTCGGTCTTGCGGCCCATATAAGCTACTCTTGGAAAATCACTTAGATTGCAAACTTACGTTTCAGGTATGAAACGTAAATTAAAGTAATGTTTATGTTTAAAAACAAAACAGGTACAGCAATTCAAATATGACTTTCCCTTAAAAATGATGATATAAACAAGGTCAGATAAAAAACAAAATACTTATGCATTCCTTTAATAATTCATTGAAATATTG